TTTATGTCATTTACATTCATGCCTTTTACATTTTTGCCTCTTATTTTTGCTCTTTACTTTATGCTTTATTGCTTTCTTATTTCAAAAGAACAGAAACATCATAAAAGGGCTAAACCCTAAAAAACATTAACTTAATCTTATGGACTTTGTGTTATTATCCATTGCTTGAGGAGTATTTTGGACCTTTCACATTATGAGTGTTTCCTTTTGCTTAGAGTGGTATCTGAGATTTTGAGATTCATCTGAGACATAATGATTATTTTAGACTTGTTGAACTTCAATTCAAGACTTAGATTCTCTTTATGGCTTGATGAACTTGGTTATCCATTTGGCTTTTTCTTTGATATTCATGTGTGTCTGTGCTTGTTCATCATGTGACTCAATCCAAAGGGAAAGGAATACTTGTTTTGACCAATGTCAAATGCTTGCTCCATATTATGGTTAGTATACTTGGACACACAAAGGCTTTCTCTTGAGCTACCTTACAATGAAACCATTTACTTTATGCTTTAGGATAGTCTCTTCTTCTCCTTCCCACTTCTTAAATTTTCAAAACTTCTCCCTATTTCAAAAACTTTTTATTTTCAAACTTGACAACTCTTTCTTAATAAACCTCGACTTTGTCAAGTGATCCAGAAAATCCTTTTCTCAATAAATGCTAAAACATTTAAGCATATTCAAACTCTTTTAAAAAATCTTCTAAAAAAGACAAACCTTATCACACTTCTTTTTGTGCCTTTGCGCAATTTCCTTTAAGAGTTTTTTTTTTGAAAGATTGAATATCAGTGTATTCTTATAGTTATGCAAACCACTATACTTTTACAAGATGCTGATAAATGATTGACATTTTCTACTTGAATGTTGAGACATGCTTGTGAGAAAGTCCATGTAAAACTTCTCCATATCAAGGTGTTGCAAATGCTCATTTTCTCGTACTTGTGAGAAGTAAGTTGAGTTTTGCACTCAAATATGACGAAATTTCTTTTCAATTAAAATCAATCAACAAACAATCCAACCTTTCTATAAACACAGATTTGCAAGTGGTTCCCGTTGAGTACAACGAATGTGAGAGGTGCTAATACCTTCCCCTTGCATAACTAGCACATGTATCCAGATCTCTCTTTTGTGGCTTTTTTCTTTTTATGGGGTTTGTTCGAACTTTTCTCTTTTTTCTTTAGAAACAATAAAGTTCGGTGTCGACTCTTGATTTTTGAGTTAAGTTAATCAATAACTTAATCTCAATAACTTTTCCCACCGCGACAGACGCGCTTTCCGCAAGTGGTGTTACTCATTCCTTCACAAGATCTTAAAGATCTTGACAACAGAAAACTACCTTCATCTGTTTACACAAATTCTCATAATTCTAATCTTTCATAATTGAGACACTCGCCGAAAAATATCCATTAGGATGATTCATCATCATTGCCACCGTGTTTTGTTTCCCATGAATCGCTGACCCAGTGCTCTGATACTAGATGTTGGAATTAAATCCAAGACTTTGAGTAATTCTAAATCAATCTTGATGAACAAAGATTCAATCGTGTCGATTAAATTCTCTTTTGTTCTTCACTCTTCACTCGAGTGAATCAATCAACCTTGGTTGCAAAATATTTATCTCCACACAATGGCAATGAAAGGAGAAAAACTTGAATTAGGGAAGAAGAAGAATTTTTGTAGAGCTTCTCTCTGCTTCTCAAACTGAAAAATATTATTCAACCATGCAACTAAATTTCTGTTATGTTACAATTCATAATAGGGTTACTCCCTATTTATAGATTTGACTTGCTTGCTCCCTAAGCAAAGCCCAAAAGCAAAATCCCAAAATACCTAATTATGCTAACACTATATAATTAGGTTAAAGACAAAATCTATGTCGAGGCTAATCCTCAACACTTCAACAACAAGATGTTTCAACAGACACACTAGGCTATTCGACACTTCCTTACTTCTGTTGAGCAACCTGCTTCGATACAAGGAATTACAATTTAACATAATATTCATTAAATTCGACTTTACTCAATGATAAATATGCTATTATTCTTTGCAACTTTCTGTTTGAGTGTATAAGCTTCTAAATAAAGATCTCATATTTTTTTCAATTTGACATGATTTAAAGGTTTATGGAATTAAGTTCTGACTTAGAGCATGATACATTCCTCAAAACAAACAAGGTTACTTTATTAAATGACGCGGTTTGAGTGGTGACTCAATTAAGAAATGAAGCCCATAGGCTCAAGGAAAGGAACAATGAATTACACGAAAAAGTTAAGGAGATTAAGGTGATCGAGATGCCCATGATTGAAGGTCTGAGCATGACCAATTTGATGAGTCTAACCACAAAAGATACTCTTAATGATTTAAAATACATCCATGGTTTCTAAATAGGATGAATATAGAATGTTAAAGATGATCAAAGATAATTAGATAATATATATTTAATATGTAAATGTTATAAATACAAGGAATATTAGTCTAGTGGTTAAGAATCTCGCATACTAAACTTATACTAAACTTATGTCTATAAGAATTACATTTTTTTCCAACACTTTTACTATCCAAAACAACAAAAATATATTTGACCTGTAACGTGAGTGACTTTTAATTTACTCTCCTCATAATAATAAAAAGTTAAATAAAAAAATAAATTTAATAAAATAAAAGAATAACACGTGAATTTTAAAAAATAAATAAAAATAAAAATAAAAAAACCACGTAGACAATCACTTAGAATTTAAAAAGAATTCTGAATTAAAATAGTTAACTAAAGTAGACACACAAAATCTAGACATTATAATAAAAAAGTTAAAAAAAAAAAAACTTATAAGATAAATCAAGTTAAAGCATAAAGGTATTATAATAAATAAAACTTATATATCATTAAATCAACGTAATTAATTATTATTTTAAAAAAATAAAAGCTCAAAGTAACCCATAATTTATGACCGAGAAAATAATAAATAAACATTACTTATACTAGCGTCTACACGTCCGTCTGTTCGCTTTTTTAATATTCAGACGTTTAAAAATATAAACGTATTTTTTGTGTGTTTATTTTTTTAATTTAAATTTTATATAAAAAATTTGAATAAAATAGTTGTACGACTATCATATAATAGTTAATAAAAAAATTAGTAAAAGAGAAGTTGAATTTTAAAATTAAAAACAAAATGGTATAATTGGAATAAAAATAGACTACACCAAATCCAAGTTTCCCCTGGCGTTCAGACGGGCGCCCTTCCGCCTGTCTGTTTTTTTAATGCACTAAAAGTTTAAATGATATTTTTTTTATATAGTATTAATTTAAAAAAAAGTTATGTAGAAAGTTAATAATAGAAAGTTAGATAAAAAGTTAATAATGAGAAGTTATGCGAAAGATAATAATAATAGTTTTAATGAAATTTATTGTATAAAATAAAAGTAAAATTAGTAGAAAAATAGATTACACCAAAATACTATGTTTTATCTATATAAATGTTATAGATTATAAAATATATGGTGTAGATTATAGATTAATAAAAATAAAAAAATAATATATATATTCAACTAGTATTGAATTCAATGTACTCCATTGGGTCCTATATACTCGTTGATGATTGGAACTTCACCATGACGCCTATTTTTCAACAACGTACATACTACTTGACTACAACACGTCTATTTTTCAACAACGTACATATACTTGACTACAACACGCCAATTTTTCAAACCTTAAAAACCGGGACCCACACCCACTCTCATGAATATTATTTTCCCTCACTTTTCTTCACACTCATTCCCCACTTACTCTCTGCACCCGTTTCTTTCCACCCACTTTCCTTCCATTTCCTTTCCCGTGTCTCTCTGTAAAAAAATCTCAACTCCCAATTATTTTCTCTTTTCACAACCAAAAAACCATTACCCGTGACTCTTTCAGTTAGATCACAATCCGTCACTTTCTTACTCATTTTCCTCGAACCTTCCTTCGTTTATTTCTTCTACATATCCATTCACTCTTTCTTCTTTCATCTCTCGATTCGCTTCCATTTTTTCTCTTCCGGTATTACACACATTCTCTATGTTTCTCTTTCGTATCGTTTTCAGTGTATCTATTTTTTCAACTATTTATTTGACTTTTCACTGTTCTCAATACATGTCATTTTCACTTATGGCTTCTTTTGTCTCATTGCTTGATTTTTTAGACGTTTATTCGTCTTGAATACGATTCTGGTTTGTTAGATAATCAATTCGATTATATTTTGAAATTTGGACGTTTTTCTGTATATATCGGTGTTTTTTTGTTTTTGTATGGAATTGGATTTTTTTTGCATCGTTTGGAATTATTTTTATTGGTTTGTGAAGGATACATTGTTTTTACTAATGGTGTTTTGGCTTATGTGTTATTTCATGATTGATTCTGGTACATTCATGTGATGATCGCTGAGTAATTTGGGGTCAAACTGTTGTTTTCTTGCACTTTTTTTCGGGGTTTTAGGAAAGGAATGGTGTTTTAGTTTTATTTATTTATTCATTTATTTTTTAAAGTTTGAATTGATTATTTCTGTGTTTGGGAGAGCATTTGGCAAACACAAGTTTGATTTGGATGAAATTGATTTTGTTAAAAATTGTTTGAGTTTGAATTCTGAGTGTTTTTAGTGTTATAGCAAGTTTGATGTAAAATTTTAGTGTACATTTTCGATTCAAGGCAAGATCGAATTTTCTCACTTCTAGCTAAGGTTTTCAACTCATATTTGATAGTAAGAAAATCAATTTAGATGGTTTTCACCGCATACCAGTATTTGTTTTTGATATTTACATGGACAGACTTGTGTTTTTTTTTTTTCAATTGTTTGATAAATGGAGTGAGTATTTCAATATTTTCCAATATTTTGATGATTGTCATTGTCTTTTTTTTGTTTTTTGTTTCAGGTGTAGGCAGGAAGAATTCAAGGTGATGCTAGTAGTTAGTCAATAACATTCATCTTCTTCTACATTGTATTTCAAGTTTCAACTAGGCTGTAGTTATGACTGTGAGTACTACTCAGCAAGAGAAGTTTGTTAGGTTAGTTTGGTTATGTGTGCCTTAATTTACACTGATTTTTTGTTGTTGTTTGTCGCAATTTTGCTGTTGAGGCTGTTTCTTTTGTTTATTTCAACATACACGGACACTCGCACATATATGTACACACAGGTAATAATATAAGAAAATTAGAGTAATTGAATATAACCACACATGTCGTGTCGAATTCCGGAAATGCCTTCGATTTGAAGTATTAGTGCTACTATATACATTAGAATCATCTGTTAAGTTTCTAGTATTTAATTTTTGTAATGTTCAGGTTTCATGATTCTAATTCAGAGAAGGTTTCGGAGAGAATTCATCCTGCACTTAAGCCAACACAGTCGGGGAAATTTAGAAGCACATTAAGTTCATTTTCTGAGAAGTTTCAAAGGGGATTGGAATCTGGTTCTGAGAGGATGATGAGGTTCAGAACAACATTCGACTCTTTTCACCATAACAGTGCTCTTTCTAGAAACTTTGGCTCTAAAAGGAAAATACTTGATCCACAAGGTTCATTCCTTCAAAAGTGGAACAAGACATTTGTGTTGTTATGTGTCATTGCTGTATCACTGGATCCGTTGTTCTTTTATGTTCCTGTGATTGATGGTGAGAAGAAATGCCTTTCACTGGACAGAGGAATGGAGATTACAGCGACTTTCTTGAGAACTTTCTCTGATGTATTTTATATAATCCACATGATTTTCCAATTCCGTACTGGATTTATTGCTCCCTCTTCTCGCGTATTTGGAAGAGGTGTTTTGGTCGAAGATTCTTGGGCAATTGCTAAGAGATATCTGTCATCATATTTCTTAGTTGACATTCTTGCAATTCTTCCCCTTCCACAGGTATGCCTCTCTAATATGTTAAGGGTTTATGATGATTAGATTCTAAATTTTACACTGTGACGTGTTCATTTTTAAGCTTATTGACTCAACCTAAAAAAATATTACTAGGTGGTGATTCTAGTTATCATCCCGAAGATGAGTGGCTTTGAATCGCTCAATACAAAGAACTTGCTGAAATTTGTTGTTTTCTTCCAATACATGCCTCGACTATTACGAATAATTCCATTATATAAAGAAATTACAAGGACCTCTGGCATTCTCACTGAAACAGCTTGGGCTGGAGCTGCATTCAATCTCTTTCTTTATATGCTTGCAAGTCATGTAAGTCCTTGCCACATTCTTACTTACATTTTTTTGAAATTATTTTTGGCAATGTATCACTTTCTATTATATGTTTATGTTCAAACTATTTACATTATATTTCCGAGTTTACAAGTCTTTTTCTTATAAGTCCATTAATTATATACCTTTTTACCTTTGTGCTGGGAGTTTTATTCTTTCAACAAGTTTATTTTGTCTGATGACTGGTCAATAAGTTAAAAGCTATCATTCATAGTAAACTTGCTCTTTTGGTAACTTTGGGCATGCCTAAGTATGTTAGGATTCTCACTCCTGTAGAATATGGGCTGCAGTACACAGCTAGTTGCATGACAGATACGGCGATTATTACTGATATTTGAATATTGGATAAAATCACTCTAGTCAAGCTTTTTAAAGGAACTTAGTTTTACTGATAGAGAAATGGTAGACTAGCCAGTAGTGAACTTGGCGATTAAAATTAACAGAAATGAAAATCACAGAATAGAGATATTTCAAGAGTCCTAGCCGTGAGATGGGAATGGCCAACCCTTCTCAACACCCCTCCTCACATAGAGATAGACTCTAGTAATAGAAGGATAACTATTAGATTTCAGTTTCCAAGATTTTATGGTACTAAAGATTTCTTGTGAATATTTTTTAATTGTTGGACCTGTCTTAAATTCAAAGGAAAATATGAGATGGATGAGACAAAATGTGTTTCTTTAAGTGCATGTGCGTATTTTGTTCCACCTAATATATTTATGATAGATGATACAAAAAGTATGATGATGCTTATCAATAAAAAGAAAATAATTAATAACTGTGGATTTAAGATATTTTATTCAATTTCTTAAAGCTTCTTTTTATGGACAGTATTTTAGGCCAGATTTTTGTCACGTAAGATTTCTAGTTTCGTATTTGCAAGTCTCACGGATTCCTAGTTGGCTTGGGTTGCTAGTTATTATCATTAGTTACTTTTGGGAGTTGTTTCTTGCAACTTATGCCCAAAAAGTTGTATTTTAGTAATTCTAATCTTAGTTCCCTGAGTAGACATAATCATAGACTTGTGCTTGTGTTGGATATGTTTGACATTTGGCACTTGTATCAGTCTTAAGTGTTGGCACATCAGTGTTGCATTTGTTTTTCACAAAATTACAATTTTGATGCCTGCTTGAACGGATGCCATCTCCATATCTTTCTAATTTCTAAGTTGTTTGTTTTTTTAGGTCCTTGGTGCCTTTTGGTACTTGTTTTCTATAGAACGAGAAACCACATGCTGGCAAGAAGCCTGCCGGAGTAATGTCATGTGTAACAAGGCAGATATGTACTGTAATGATCATGGGGGCGGGTTTAAGACAATTTCAACATATTTGAATACTTCTTGCCCAATACAGGAGGAAGATAAAAAGCAATTTGATTTTGGAATTTTCCTTGATGCCCTTCAATCCGGTGTTGTGGAGTCAAGAGATTTTACCCAAAAACTCTTCTACTGTTTTTGGTGGGGCCTAAAAAATTTGAGGTATGCTTCATTGATTATTTTTCGTATACTATATGAACTTATATTCTAAGGCAAATCATATTATCTTACAATGTACTGATTCCTTAACTGTTCCTTCATTCTCTTTATTTGGATCTGGATTCCGTTATTGCAGTTCTCTTGGTCAGAACCTAGCAACAAGCACTGATTTTTGGGAAATCTGTTTCGCAGTTTTCATTTCCATAGCTGGTTTGGTTTTATTTTCATTCCTCATTGGAAATATGCAGGTATGTACCCAAAATCTTGATAAAAACTGGTAGCTATAGTGAGTATATTAAAGAAAAGAAAACAGAAATGTTAGAACAATCCTCTGCAGATTTTGTCTAGAAAAAAGTTTATTATTAATACAAAATTAACACACTAGTACATTAGAGAAAGTTAAGAGAGACAATAATAGAATAGATATAAAGCAATTCCTATTTAAGAAATTTGAGAGTCTTGGTCTCTTCCTTCCAAGAATTCAAGAGCTTGGTCTCTCCCATCCAAAAGAAACTCAATAACTATCATATAATCTGTTTCTCCTTTCCTTTCTCTATTTATTACTAAAACTTAACAATGTAACTGACATAATAACTTCCCTAAACTGTCAATCTCCATAGTTTCTTTTAATCATGTAATGAAGCTGGGAAGCACTATTTATTAATCTTCTGTTTAAATTTGTAAATTTGATTGCTGGTGCCCTTTCTCCCTTCTGTGATTTCCCAGATTTAAATTCATAGTTTTCCTTTTTTGGCTTGTTTTGGTTGGGAAGTCTTTAATTGTATTTAGATTCCTTTGTTGGAAAATCGAACTATTTATACTTTTTTATTTTTATATTCAGCTTATCTCTAGATAATACCCTGAGCTCTTAGAGGGTTTGTTTGATTGTGGTTTAGAACATTAGTTGTTTTTAAGTTAAGTTTCCATGCAAAACTCAGACCAATATTTAGACACATGAGCCGTTCTTTTATTAGGATGTGCACTAGTTGTTTTTAAGTTTTAAGTTTTAAGTTTCTATGCAAAACTCAGATCAATATTTAGACACATGAGCCGTTCTTTTATTAGGATGTGCTCTAGGTTTTAACTGATTATTCTTGATTTGTTTTGAAACAGACATATTTGCAGTCAACAACAACAAGACTGGAGGAGATGAGAGTTAAAAGGAGGGATGCAGAACAATGGATGTCTCATCGATTGCTTCCTGACAGCCTGAGAGAGCGAATCAGGCGTTATGATCAATACAAATGGCAAGAAACCAGGGGTGTAGATGAAGACCGTTTAATTCACGATCTTCCCAAAGACTTAAGAAGGGATATTAAGCGTCATCTTTGCTTAGATTTGCTGATGAGGGTAAGTTTTTCCAACTTTTTAAATCGTCTCGTTACTGGATTTCATTATATCAAAAGGAAGTCTTATGGATTTTAATGACAGCCCTTGAAGTGTAAACAAAATATCATTGCTATTAGGTGATGAAAGACTATATAGTTTGATTTTTCATTTAACATTTTTAATGATAACCAGATGCTTTTCTCGTGTATGAAACTTAGGTGCCAATGTTTGAGAAAATGGATGGACAACTTTTGGACGCAATGTGTGACCGTCTCAAACCAATACTTTACACAGAGCAAAGCTATGTTGTTCGGGAAGGAGACCCTGTCGATGAGATGCTCTTCATAATGCGAGGCAAGCTGTTGACCATAACAACTAACGGCGGTAGAACTGGCTTCTTCAACTCTGAGTTCTTAAAAGCTGGCGACTTCTGTGGAGAGGAGCTTCTCACATGGGCCTTAGATCCTCATTCCTCATCCAACCTTCCCATTTCCACTAGGACGGTTCAAACCATCTTAGAAGTCGAAGCCTTTGCCCTAAAAGCTGACGATCTGAAGTTCGTGGCATCTCAGTTCCGGCGTCTTCACAGCAAGAAGCTGCGCCACACTTTCAGATTCTACTCGCAACAATGGCGTACATGGGCTGCATGTTTTATACAAGCTGCATGGCGGCGCTACTGCAAGAAGAAGCTCGAAGAGTCTCTTGTTGAAGAGGAGAACAGGCTGCAAGATGCGTTGGCAAAGGCCGGTGGTACCTCAACAAGTCTAGGTGCCACCATATATGCTTCTAGGTTTGCTGCCAATGCACTCAGGTTATTGCGACGAAACCGTACTGCAAGGAAGATAAGGGTGCCCGAGAGAATACCTGCTTTGTTGCTTCAGAAACCTGAAGAACCTGACTTTACTGAGGAAGAACAATAATAGCATGTAGTTAGATATTGGTTTTACTAATTAGGAAAGGTGAACATAATTATAATGTAGTTGGATATGTCTTGTTTATTAATCAGGAAAGGTAAACATGCAACAAAACTTCGGTAGAAAATGTTCATATTGAAATTTGAGTGAAGTTGTATATGTAAATATATGTGTTAGTTATTAAATGATTTTCAGGATAAATTTTGCTTTCCATTCCTCTTTTTCTTGAGTTCTGTCTGAACTCACAAGAGGCTCATGAATGTAGAGACCTTATATAGAAAAAAAAAATCATCATTATGATTTTCTGATCATGTTTGATATAGGAATGGGAGAGTGGACAATTTTGCAGATGCAATGCTGATTCAGTTAGTGTTTCTTGTTTTTTTTGTGCGAATCTGTTTTTCGTTAGCGATTCTGTTTGATATGTGTTGCTGCTGTTTGATGTTTCCTTTGTGGAGGAAATTTATCAAGGGCTTTTTAATTGGCTTGTGAAGTTGTGAATCAAAATACCTTATAGTACTTCTCTTAATCAATTTTACATTTGTTGCAACCAAGTTATTTTTTAAATCCATATAGAAAGCAGTACTTTCATGGAAATAAAATCAATTTTTCTATAAAAACTATCTTCCTTGCATTGCAATTTATGTCTCATATTTAACCTCTGAATTATAGAACCTAAGATCTCTTATGTGTTTAGCAGCACCTTCAACTTTTTCAATAGGATTGACAGGGTTTACAAAATCAACAGATGACCCCTCGTTTGAGCATAGTATAAAGCCTATCAAACCACTGCACACCATGGAATATTAAATCATGATTTTTTAGGTAATCGAAAGTAGTAATGAATGTCTTGGTAAGATTTTCAAACCTCAAAAACCAAAACCTCTTGGTATTCTGATTTTTCCTTGTACAATACTTTCTCTACTTTGATTGAATGTGCTTCTCCTAAAAACATATCAAAATTATTATACATACTTTTGAAATGCTCAGTAGATGGGATATAATTGGTATATCTTATGTACGAATATTAAAATTTGGATTGTGTCTACGAATAACACTATCAAGATAAATGTGAACTAGAGTTTACAAATGCATTAAGCCCTAACTCATAAATAAAAAATAAAAATAACAATAACAATGAACAATAGATAAAATGAATTTAATATATGAGATATAATATATATATATATTAATTCAAAACTAATAAGAAAATCAACATATCATACTGACCTTATGTAGTGTGAGTGATTAAATTCATTGAATGTTCCTCAAATTCCGCAACATGATGGAAGTTAACTCAAGGAATCCGTTAAAGAACTTAGTTTTAATAAGTAAGAGTAAGAATTGATATATGTTAGCTAAATGATGATAGTTGTAACACCATATAATAAGTATTTAGAAATTATTATACAAGTAAGTATATCATATAAGATCGTGCGGGTACTAAATAGAAGTTGTTGAAATAAAATAAGATTTTATTTGTGATAGATATTATTTATTATAAAAACTATATAATATAGATAATAAGATTAACCTAACAAAAGAAAATAGTCTAATTTCAATTGAAAAATAATATATTTATAAATAATGGAAATGCAAGGTGAGGTAGCAAATTAAATGTTAAAATACGAAAGACTTTAAAATTGAAATCAATTTTTATGGTTTTTGGTTATTTTTTCTTAGATGAGCCTTTGTTGTTTCTTGGTTTTGCTTTAATGGATTTTTGAGTCTTTAATTTGTGTATGAGAATCGATTCGTCGTCAGAGGATAATATCTGAAGTTCATTGTAGCTACTATTATTTTTTGAATTCCCTTTGATATGTGGTTCATCATCTGATGGTGTTATAATTAGCCTTCGTTTAACACTATGAGTTTCTATTTTTTTCCTTTATGGTTTACCATTGATGTTGTCATCATCATTTTCTCTTCCATCTTCTTCTTCTTCTTCTTCTTCTTCTTCTTCTTCTTCTTCTTAGTGATCTTCTTTATTTTGAATCATTTGGGGTGATATGGACTCCTGTTGTAATAAACAATACTAATTAACAAATTAAATCTTTAAGAAACAGAGTTTCTTGATGAACAATGAAACAATTATGTTAACAGAGAGAGAGAGAGAGAGAGAGAGAGAGAGAGAGAGAGAGAGAGAGAGAGAGAGAGAGAGAGAGAGAATAGGATTGGGAAATCTATATTTTCTATTCACGTACTCAATTAGGGTACAAATGATTACAAGTGAATAACAACAATTGATCTCTCTCAACAACCTGAGAGAACTAGCCTATTTATAGGCTACTAAGCTAACTTAGACAACAAGCTAACCTAAACAATTGAATCCAAAAAAAAGACCAATTCGACATTGCATACTAGAACTAACTTCATCTACAACATGTAACACTTCGACTACAACATATGAACCAACTTCCATTTCATGCATGTCTCCTGTCGAAACATGAAAACTTTCCCTGCTGAAAACATCTCAGCCGACAACACTAGAGTTCAATCCAATATCTCACAAATCTCTATCTCAGAACAAACTCTAAAATAACAGAGAATAATCTAGCTTTCATCATGCATTGTTATTAACTGCATACAGTGGAAAAACTTGCAGTTCGACAATGTCTTGGTGATCATATCAACAATCATCAGTCGAAACCTTTAGCACTTGAACTTCTCCACGCTCGATTATCTCTTTGACGAAGTGTAACCTTACATCGATGTGCTTGGTTCGCTCATGATAGGTTGAATTTTTCGACAGGTGTATTGCACTTGACTATCACATTTAACAATGATAACTCGACCTTGAAGTTTCAGCTCCTTTGCAAATCCTTCAAGTCATAATGCTTCTTTCACAGCTTCAGTGAGGGCAATATATTCTTCTTCAGTGGTTGATAAGGAAACAACCTTCTGAAGTGTCGCTTTCCAACTGATTGATGTGCCGAACATAGTGAACACATATTTATAAATAGATTTTCTAGAATCCATAAAAGCTGCATAATCAGAGTCGACATATCCTTTAATTTTGACTTTGTTATCATCACTACATGCTCCACCATAAATCAAGACTCTATTTAGAGACCCATTTATGTACCTAAGAATCCACTTCAAAGCTTTCCAATATGCCTTTCCAGGATTGACCATATACCTGCTTATAAGGCTCACTCCATATGTTATGTATGGTCTCGTACAGACTATAACATACATAAAAGAACCTATTATACTAGCATATGAAATGATACTCATATAGATTCTTTCAGCTTCAGTACTCGAACTTTAAGTACTACTAAGCTTAAACTGAGGATTTGTCGGAGTCACGACAGACTTTGAATTCGACATACTAAATTTGTCGAGAATCTTCCATAGGTATGTCTCTTGAGATAAGCATAATTTAAAATTCTTTCTATCTCTATGGATGTCAATCCCAAGGATCCTGGTGGCAGCTCCCAGATCCTTCATTTCGAACTCCTTACTGAGTTTAGCCTTCACCTCCATTACATCCTCGACACTGTTGTTAGACATGAGGATATAAAGCAACAAAATAACAAGTGAGTTTCCTATTCAAAATAACACAATGATCGAACTGGATCCTAGCGTAACTAATGTGTGTCATGAACTTGCCGAATCTCACGTTCCTCTGTCGAGGAGATTGTTTCAGGCCATACATATGTCTTTGAAGTTGAGTTAGCCAAGTCGATAATGCCATATCCATTCATCTCTGCTGGCTGTAGTTGCAAGACACTTATACTCCATCACATTAAGTTCAATCTTGAAGGTTCTATTCAGAGACATTGGAGCCTTCAAGATTAACCTACCACCTGAGTCGAGAACTCTCATCATCTTGTCTTTGATCGACACCTTGTAGTTCTTTTCGACCAATTGCCTTATACTGATCAAATTACTCTTCATGCCTGGTATGTACAACAGATTGGAAATTACTGACCTCTTGTCATGTTTCTTCAAAATTAGAATATCACCAATACCTTCAGCTGCTAGAGTATTGTCATTTACAAATTTCACCATGTTCTTCGTCGAGAGCTTTATGTTGATAAACTAATGTTTCCTTTCAGTCACGTGTGATGAGCATTCCGAGTCTAAGTACCACTGATCCTGGAATCTTTCTTCATCTCTTGTTGTGATCATCAACAACATCTCTTCTTCTTCATGTTTCGCCAGCTATGCATCAGTTTCTTGATTCTTCTTCTTTTCTCGACACTCACAAAAGTAGTGACCATACTTCTGACAATTGTAACACTGAATATGACTTTTATCAGGATTTCGACCACCACCTCTTCCTCTACCTGCAGCACCACCTCTTAGGTTGCCTTGGTTCCAGGGTTTTCTCTGATTCGACCAGTTTTCTTCCTGCTGATTTTGACCAGTCGAATTGTTGTAGCCTCCTCTACCTTTATTGTCATTCCAGCTTCCTTTTCCTTTCTTTTCCTTTTCTAATTGTGCCTGCAAAGCCATATCACTCTTCTAATTTTCTGCAGCTCTTTTAGCCATCCTTTATTCATGAGACTCAAACGTCCCTTGAAGTTCTTCCTTCGTCAATACTGACAAGTCTTTCGACTCTTCTATGACTACTACCATATGGTCGAACTTTGGATCCAATGACCTTAAGATCTTTGCAACAACTGATTTTGATGTCAATACTTCTCCACATACCTTGATTTGATTCACCAGTTTAGTAACCCTAGTGAAGAAATCTGTTATAATTTCACTTTCTTCCATCTTAAGCAATTCATAGGTTCTCTTGTAAGTTTGTAACCTCACCTCTTTCACCTTCTCTGCTCCTCCAAACGAATTTTCCAGAATTTCCCACGCTTCCTTCGCTGATTCTACATCACTAACCTTTTCAAAATCATCTACATCACTAACCTTTATAATCTTTCTTCTTCAATTCTTTATGTGAAGCCTTTTGTTGATCCGTCGTGTTTTCTGCAAGCAGTGCTACTCCTCCCTTCACAAAATCTTAAAGATCTTGATAACAAAAAACCACATTTATCTACTTG